CACGGGATGTCAATGTCCAATCTGTCAGGCACCTCCTCGCAGCCCTAGGCATTCCTTTCTTCCTTCCTAACGCCCAAGTACCTCTCTCACAGATACCTCAGTACATATAGTACCTTATGCAGATGCGCCTGATACATTATGGGCGATGATATTCTGCCAGCACCTGCCGATATCCCGCTACTAAGTGTGGCTGCGGCCGCTCCTGCCTCCGACTACGGAGCCTAGCTGCCTATACCTACCTACTTACCTACCTACTTACTTACCTACCTACTTACCTATTTATAACTATTATTTTATTAACTTTACCGTCGCTACCGCTGCTATTACTACTAATTAAAGCTATTCTTAATATTAATATACTATAAGAAGAGAATAATTACGAAGTTAACGATCCTTTTATTTATTAATATATTATTAATTATAACGATTATAGTTATGTAGAGTACGATTACTTATTTTATAGCTAGCGCTTTTTTAACTTGCTTAAGGTTAGAGTAGTATTTAATAAGGCTACTTACGAGGCTAGCTTTGCAGTCCGAATTATTTAATATAAACCCTTTACTAGGGCGCTAATTATTATTACTTATTACTATATTCGTAGCTCGCGTTGCGATTAAAAGTAGTAACGCTTTATAAAGTTAACCTATTTAAATAAGCGTTATAGATCTTTAACCTCGTTTATAAACTACTATTAGTAAATTGCTACTAGCTTTTTAAGCGGTGATTAGCTTTTTTATCCCGTTATTAGCGCCTTTTATAACTATTATAACTACTTATTTAGTAATATTAATATTTTTATATATTACTACTGCGCGCTATTACGCGGTAAAAAGGATTAAATTATTAACTAATAGAATAAGGGTATTCGACTTATCTAAATCTTTTTAAGTTTCTAATTAGAAAGTAGTAATTATAGTAGTATTATTAACTACGATATACTTAATATACTAGCTACCTACTGCCGTAACGAATTAGGTAATAGATCCCTTATTAAGTAGTTATTTAATTAATTATGCGATTTTACGAAGTATTAGTATTATTTTTAATGCGACGACGCGGGTTATATTACGAGCTTATTTATCGTACTTATTATTACGATTTCCTTATTTTAATAATATCCGGATGTTCTATTAATAGATTTTATATATAAAACTAATTAATTTAATATGCCGCTATTTAATATTTGCGGAGTTACGAACGATAGTTATGCTTTTTAAGTTATAAGCTACTTTTTGTTTAGTAAGAAAGAAGCTAATTATTATTAGGCTATTAACTAGCTATTAGTATTACTCTAGGCTTACGAAATTCCCTTTTTATAAGTTATATATACGGATTGCGAGATTACTCTACTTAATACTTTTAATAATAATACCTAATTTAAAGTAGTACTATACGTACTCTACTACTAGTATATTAACTTTAACGTACTAGTTAAGACCCGGCACTATTTTAGCTTAGTTATAAGGGACGAGATTAGCGTCGTTATACGTAACCCTCGTTTTTAATAATTTTTTACGGATTAGGGTAATTTCTTTTATAGCGAATTAATAGCTATATACTACGATTAATTATTTAAATTTGAGACTACTAGGTACCCTATAGTAGTAGTTAATTATATTATTAATACTTAGCTTAAGCCGTAGTATAAGAAAATCGTATTTACTTAGGTTAACTAAATTAGGTATTTTAGTTACGTAACTACGTTAATTATCGAATCTTTATACGCGAGTATTAAAGTACGAATTTGTTACTATACGGGCGATTTTAAAGCCGTATTTAATAAATTAGTTATTTTTTAAGTAAGTTAAGCGGTTATAATTAGCGCTTATTAAACCTGTTATTAGGCTAAGGTATTAAGTACTATTACGGGATTATTTTAGAGGAAGGTCCGTATATATATATATTACGATACCCTTAGGTACCTCTTATAAGAACTCCGTACGCTAAGTAAATAACTAAATTTAAGTTTATATAAGAAGTCGTTAAGAGAGTGCGTACCTTACTTAATTTAAACTACTTATAGGCTACTTTATTACTACGTCCTTTAATAATATACTAAGGACGGTACTTTAATATTATTAAAAGAGATTTATTTATATTAGTTCTAGCGATACTTAGAGCTTATTATTAATAATAGTACTTCTACCTCCCTATTCGATCCTTTATAAGTCCGAGGTAAGGGTCGCTTATAGGGCTTTATAATAAGTATTATAATAGTTATAATAAGTATTAGGGTGCTTAAATTAAAAAAGCTAGCGGTCGATCTAAGTACTTTTTCTAAATAAGAGCCTTTTGTATTTAAGTATAAAAAAGCTACTAAACGCATAAAAATAGTACCCGTATTAGTACTACTACTATTAATAGTACTTTTAGCGCTAAGTAAAGCTACCTCTATTTAACAAAGCTTTAAAATTATATACGATTTTAATATATATAAGCTTAGTATAGAGATATAGCGGGGGTATTAGCGGGCTATTACTAACGAGGTAATTAATATAGTTAATAGTAATACGATTAATCTTATAGGGGCTCTTTAGCTATTAACGCTTATAAAGTTGCGATCCTAATTAATTAGTAATTTTACGTAGTTAGACATATTATAGGATCTAGTTAACGAGGATTATACTTATAATATTAATTTTATAATAAAAAGCGAGATAGATAGACTCGCTAATAAGTATAAGGCTAAAGTAGAGGACGAGGCTAAAGTAGAGGAAGTTACTAAATTACGGGCTATGGGCTATACGAAGTAATTAATAGTTAATTAGGTAGTTAATTAGGTAGTTAATTAAGTAGTTAATTAGGTTAATTTATTAATTACCGTACTTTTTACTAAAATAATTTAATTAATTATAAGTTAATTAACGGCCTCTAATTAGCTTAACTTATTCGAATGCTGACTACGCAGAGCCTAGCTTACGTGTGTGCCCGAAACCGGCGGTCGTGTAGCGGCCGTAGCTACACTTGGTGGCGGGATATCGGCAGGTGCTGGCAGAATATTATCGCCCTATATTATACCTTAAGGTAAGGTAGATGTGAGCGATGGTCTCAGTCACATGCAGCTTGCCCCTTTTCCTTTCCCTGCGTTACCTTACCTCCAGATATGGATGGTACTGCCTAACTTGCATTTGCACATGCTTCAAGGCGCCATCCATCTGAAAGACCACTCAACCATCAAGCGCGAGCTGGGCTGGATCTTGGTAAACGTCAAGTGACAAAAAAGGAATCTGGACCAGCCGCCAGCCCGCCCTCCTCCACCTTTACGCATACCGTGCCGGCTGGAGTGCAGCGGATCTACCGGGACTTGGCTCATTGGACAAGTTTGGGCCTTTTCCAAGCACACAAGTCATTGAAAATAATCATGGTGGCTGCTCGTCTGCATCCATGGTCGGGTCTTTTTTCTGTCGGTCTGCACGATGAATGGCTGGCTGCACGTTCATGCCTAGTACTCCGTCCTGGGCGTACTGCGACCACCTTCAGTCAGCATATGGCGGTAAGCAAATGCATCAACAACGGATGATTGATACATAGATTAGATAAGTACCTAGTGTAGACATCAGATTAAGGGGACAGGCCAATATCCAGCCAGCCTCATCCTCCCTTGAACCCATGGCCCGATCCATTTTGCCATTCAAGGTGGTGCGGCCCACCTTGGTCTTAGCATGCATCCCGCCGCCAAACCGAGACTAGGCTGTGTAGGTTCTTGAGCAATGAGCACCGATTACTCCGTATGGACGAGATTCTCTTCATTTCACTCTTGTCAAGCTGGAATGCAGTCGAGGGAATCTCAGGGGAAGAAAAACACGGGGCGGCAAATTCAGGGGATGAAGCTCTCCTGTAAGAGGTTCCAGCTTCTCCCCATTGCCCACGGGCGGCCCTGGACGAGCCCTGTTCAGTGGAACCTGGTCCGAGACTTCGCCACACCTTCATCGCACACTGATCCTGATGCGGCCAGAGTCCAACAAACTTGTGCTCACTGCGCCGTGGGCTGAGCGGGCTCTCCGCTATTCAATGCCCTGGAGCCCTGGAGTACAGGCTCTCCACTGCTGCGGAGAGGAGCACAGGGGTAAAAGGAGGTTGGAATCGAGAGGGGCAGTCTATGTACTGGTTTCCGCTAATTACAATCCTGGTAACCAGGCAAGGGCGACATGGTCTTGGAGTTTTGAGTCCCGGTTCATCTTCAAGGCTTGACAGCCAGGTGGACACTGGCATCCGCAATCAACGGCTCGTCCCACGAAGACAGACGCTTGGAACGCTTCGAGAAGAAAGAAAAACAAAAAGGGCTGAAAAAATGGAGGAAGAAATTTTCGTCTCGCCCACATCGTCAACGTTTAGATGGGATCGAGACCCGCTCGCATTGTGCTGACCCCGAACTCCGCCTCGGCGGGGTGTCTTCTTAGGTAAAGTCTGTCAAACGGATCAAACAGTATTACCTACCTTTCCGGCCCTGGGCTCGCTCGTAGACTGCGGTTTCCGGTAGCCAAAGCCATACTCCGTACTGGACAGAGAGAAGAGAGTAAAAATAAATCCGAACCCACAGATGAAAAAAAGAAAAAAGAAAAAAAAGAAAAAGAGTTGCAGGTGGTCTGTGCATTATTGCCGTACACCGAGTCACCGACGGAGCCGGCTCACCGAGGTCACTCGGCGGTTGCAATTGGCCACAGTTGCTCCCGCCCATCCCGACGCGGCTAAAGCTCCCACTCCGTTGAACCTCGCCTCAAGTCCTCCCGTCCAACGAGACAAACGGCAATGTCAAGGTAAAGGCAACGCCAGCCAAGAGTTCATCCACAACTATCATTACCAACACGGCAGTCAAACTTTGTCTTCCCTCTCAGAATTTCCCAGCAGTGGATCTCTTGCCACACTTTTTGTCCGTTGTCAACTTGTGGTCGTTACAAGTCCCGCCGCCTTGGCACTTCGCGGACCTTTACTCGCGCCCGGAATCGCGGCATCTCCCGCTCCCCGACCTCACCTCGATTTTGCCCGACGTCATCACAATCATGTTCTCCCGCCATGACTCTCAACCCCGTCAGACCTTGATCACCGCTTTCGTTGCCTGGAAGGCCCTCCTACTGGCCATCGCCCTCGGCAGCGCTGTGGCGCCATCTTACGATACTTCGACGACCTTGATGCTCCAGCGCAATGAGTCCGACGTCTCCCTCGTCACCCGCCTGACGCGCTGGGACGCTCTCTACTTCACTCAATCCGCCAGACGCGGCTACGTGTTCGAACAGGAGTGGGCTTTCAACGCTGGTCTGCCACTCGTCGTCTCGGGCCTGATCCGGGTCGCGCGCCTGCTTGGCTTCGAGGGCGATGAAACCGGCGCGTCGGAAGCTGCCTTCAGCATCGTGATCGCTCACGTAGCTCACCTATTCGCCGCTCTCATGCTGTACGAGCTGACCGTCAAGCTCTTTACTCGACCTCGATTGGCATTCCTGTCCGCCTTGCTCCACATCTTGTCTCCGGCTGGCCTATTCCTTTCGGCACCCTACGCAGAGAGTCTTTGCGCCTTCTTCTCTTTCGCCGGCTACTACGTGCTCGCATCGGCGTCGACCTCCACCAAGGGGTCGTTTCCATGGGTCACAGCTCAGATCTTGGCCGGCGTCATCTTTGGTCTCGCGACGGCCTCTCGGTCAAACGGCCTCCTGAACGGCCTCCCCTTCGCCGTCGAGTGTCTAATGATCCTGCCCCCGCTGCTGGCCAGCCCTATGAGCTTGAAAAATATTGCGGCTCTGTTTGGTTCTGTCACAGGCGGGCTCCTCGTGGCAACGGGGTCAGTTGTACCACAAGCGCTTGCTTGGCTGCGATACTGTTCCGGTGCATCCGAGGCGCGCGCATGGTGTGAGCGGACCGTGCCCAGCATCTATTCCTTTGTACAGGAACATTACTGGTATGTACTCTTTGCGCTTCACCGTCGTTTTCTCTTTGAGGAATGAAAATTTCTCTCCAGCCTTACACTAGCCATGGGTCTGGTCATGGTTGAGTCACCCCTCCCCCCTCTGTCTGCTTCCCTCCCTCGGGCCCCGTCAAGTGCTTTGGGTCGGTACTTGCGGAGATTTGAGGTGGGATCTGGGTTTTGTGGGATCGTGAATGTCACTTGGTTCCTCTAGATTCTGTTCTCGCTTGCTAATCTTGGATCACGCAGGGACGTTGGCTTGTTCCGTTATTGGACGCTATCGAACGTTCCTCTGTTCGTTCTTGCCGCGCCGGTGCTGGGACTCCTCATGGTGTCCGGGTGGGAAGTCATCAACAGGCCTTCGGGGTTGGCGCGGAGTCCGACGGCGGAGAAGCAGCGACAAGGGCAGAGTGGCACGAAGTCGGTTTTAGTAGGTTCCATGGCCGCTGCCCAACTTCTGCTTGCCGTCTTGGCGATCACGACGTACCATGTCCAGATCATCACTAGGATCGCGTCTGGGTATGCGGTGTGGTACTGGTGGGTTGCCGGTTGTCTGCTGGACCACGGCGCCAACGGCAAGAGACGGGACGTTGGCGGCAAAGTTGTCATATTTTCCGTAATGTACGCCATGATTCAGGGTGTGTTGTTTGCGTCGTTTCTACCGCCTGCTTGAGATACCCCGGGTTCTGCCGCTGCGGCGCATGGATCTCAGTTTAACCTGTTCATCATAATAAATAGACTTTTCTTTTGACATTGAGTCGCATGACGGAAGTGCCTTGTGAATTCAACGCCCCGTACGTACTGCATATGGGATGATGACCAAGAATGTCGGCCACTTCGGATAGCCTGGAAAGCCTCATGAACCCTTATCTGGACCCTGGCTCTTGCTGGCAGGTAAGCCAGGCAAACTTAAAGCCTTGCGTGTGAGGTGTAGTCAAACAATGTGACTCAAGCATGAAGAGTGATGTCATGCTTCCCAAGGTCGGTTGACGTCTCTGGCATGTTCATGCCATCTATACGCCAATAAAATTTGTCTCCCAGAGCAATTCAGGGTCTATGATCGTGATGAAAGGCTAATATTGGATGACCACCGATGACAAGTCCGTCATCCAATTGACCCAAGTCACGAGGCACCTTGTAATGGCTTGACCTGTGTTTATGCCTCTTTCTAGCATCAAAGTAAGTACGAGGGTAGGACTGCAGATTGCAGTAGGGGTGACCTCCTGACCATGGTTCAATCGTGGCCTATCAAATTGTTCTGAAATCATCAATTGTGAACACCTCACTCTGAGTTTACTGTTTAAAAAGTACCGAGCACATGGTGCATCGATCAAATAGTCTAAGAGGGCCTTAGTTGAGAGTGCAGCACAACATTAGGTATGATGATCAACACAGCTGGACTCCACGAGCTTGGAATTTGGGCCGGATGCCTTGTTGTTAAAATGTAGCATACAGTCGGCGGCGTGGGGTATGTCATGGAGCCTCGCACACTCTGTAAGAAAGGAGTCTCGGCCTTGGAATTGGTAGCTATCGTTCTTCATTCGACATGTTGGGCAACCTATAACAATCATAAGATAACAAGCAAGGAACAAAGCCTTTTGTGCGTAGTTCTTTGTATTCCTGAGCTAGATGTTCATTCTGGGTACAAGAACGATAAAGCCATGATAGCTGTTCTATCCCGATGGCGTTTTGGTGATGACTAGGCATAACCAGCATGGACTTATTCGCTCTTCAACCTGAGAAAGGACACAGACTTACAAGCCCCCATTCAGACCGTGCGTCGCCATATCTCCAGCCTTCGACCCCCTTCCAGTGCTCATCTCCTATCTTAGACTCGTATCGATGACGGTCACCTGTGATGTTAGATGCATCCTCTAATGGAACAATGGTTCGTACATATGTGTGAGTAGTATGAAAGAGGCGAGCAGTGCATGTACTAACAGAAAAGCTATCCCACGAGGACTGTTTAGGTCCAATGACAATCCCTTACTGAAGAGCCTTTTTCTTGAGCTGCATGAGGTACGCCGAGGTGCGAGCAACCCTTTCCGTCTCGAAAGTGAATTCTTTTCTGTAGCGAGCTTTCTTGCGCTCGATGTCACGATCTCGGCGGAGGACGTTGTCGAACTGGTGGGCTTCCAGCCAAAGGGGCAGGAAAAAGGACATGGAATCAATGAGGGGATCAGCCTGGCCGACGACGAACTTGACGATTCTGATCTCCTCGTCATCCTCACTGACCGCTGCATTGTTGCAGAAGATATGCTTGGAGCGGTCAGCAACGTAACCTTCGTTACGGGCCAGATAGTTGTCCACGGCCTTGTATCGATAACTAGGATTGAAGAAGCCTGTCATCTAAAGGAAGATGCAAAGCTCGTTACCGGTCATGGGAAGAGCCTGCGGATGATTCCCGACGACCAGGCGGATAGCGAAGGCAATACTCTGCTTGGGATCGTTGACTGCGGAGTTAATGACCTCTTACTTGGAGCCGTCGGGATTCTGACGAGAGTAGCACACGACGGAGGCGCCGAAGTGATCAGGGAGAGGGCCTGGGAATTTCAAAGGCAGGTGGCCATGGCCATCCTCAGACTGCAGGTCGCCGATGATTTCCTCATCTTCCTATCTACTGATTAGTCCGTCTGTGTGTTTCTTATTACAAGCCAATTGATTGCTTATCTCGTCCGGGACGCAGGGCGCCCAGTCCCCGTGCCAGATGAAGCACTTCTCAACTTCCCACTTGACCTTGGCTTTGGCGCAGTTGGTAATCACGTATGCAAAGTCGGAGGTGGGTGTGGTTGGGGGAGGGTAGAGAGAGCCTGGGGTGGCCATTGTTCCTCTGTGCGATGATGCCGTGTTGAATGATGAGAAAGTATGAATGTTGTCTTGGGTTGGCGATGGAAGGAGCGTTCCCCAATTTCAGAAATTTTAGAAGGCGTGAGTATTTGTGAAAAGGTGTTTCAAAGCGGCGTGTGTATTCATTAGGGATTAATATGCCTCACCACATCATCTCATCGGTGTGTCTATTCACCTACGTATACGTGCGCGATGTGTGAGTAGCATTGTCTTCAAGCTGGGCTACCGGTTTCTTTGACCTGCGTCCACACAAGTTTCATCGTCTGGCTTGAAAGGCCATGAGCATACTTATGAAACACCAGCAGCAAACAGCTGGATAAACATGTATTTTAACCAATGGTCTCAAGCCAATATCTAAGGGTACAGGAAGGCCTGGCTAGGGGTATGGAGTCTAAAGAAGGTAAGAGTAGGTCATTAGCAGGACGAGTAGGCTCTAAAGTTGCCACACCGTCTTCATTAGGATTAAATGTGAACCTGAAAGTAGAGTCCACGGATAAGGGACACTTTGTGAAGCCCGTCGCTTAGTCGCTGTCCTCGTCCCGGCCAGGCCATACGAGTTTTCTCCTGATGACGGCACGGGCACAGCAAAAGCCAACAAACAGCCAAACGGCGACCAGTGCAATGGTGAACACCGTGGCTAACCACAGCAAGCCCTCATTGCCGAAAGCCTCGCCTATGCGGATAGTGGCAATGGTGAAGCCGACGTTGGGGAATACGAAACTCCACCAGCTGAGGTGAAAGGAGTGATCAGGCATCCCAAACATCGTAGAGAGACAGGCGGATGAGAAGAACCAGAACGACAGGCCCCACAGAAAGACGGCGGTGAAGAGAGCGACGGCCCTTACGGCGAAAGCGACGGTGCCTGGATTTTCCATGCCGTACAGATAAGCCGCATCGCGGAGGGAATCGGAGATGATGGATCCCTCGGAAGCGATGAGCCGGGGCACGTTGGCACCCATGGCTACCAAGGCTGCGGCGGTGAAACTCGGCGGTCCGACTGCGATGAACATTCCGGGGCGTTGGACGGGGAGGCCAATGGTCATGAGTCTGGACAGATACGTCGCGTACATGAAAGCTGAGACGAGGAAACCCAGCCCCTGAGCCGCGAGACCTGCGCCTAGCATAGCAGCGGCTTGATTTGGCGGCTGCGAGGAGGCCATGAAGCCAGCTAGCGTACCTGATAGCATGACGGGAAAGATGGGCAGAATCCAGGCCGGAGTCATGCTATCTAGTGACAGTCTTCTGCGGCCGGTGAAGAGGAGGTGGTACATGCCGACGGAGGCAAAGAAGGTGACCACGAGGTAGATCCAGAAACACACTCTCAAGGTGACGATGAGCCATGGACCACATTTCGGAACAGCGTAGTGTTGAATGTTGGAAAGGGCGGCAGCGATAGAGAGGAAGAAGGTCGGGATAAAGAGGGATTCTGAAGGGTGCGTGATGGCTTTTGCTGGCGTCTTTCGGAAGAAGGAGAAGCGGAGGCAAAGGGCCAACGTAATGAGGAAGATGAGAACAATGTCGAGAAGGAAGACGATGAGACCTATCGTGTCTAGCCCGCGGAATCGATGGGGAGTCTCGGCGATGAGCAGGGCGATGCCGCCTGTTGACATGCTGTGTGGGAGGTGTCAGTGAGATACAGGGGGTGAGGGGGCTAGGCCGGTAAGCCTGCATGGGAAGCCGTCGGCTCGGGACGCGGCATGAGACATACGTTAGGGTGTACCATGCAAAAGTGAAATGATGTATGCGTTCGCGCAGAGAGACCTTTTCCAGAAGGGTGTTGGTTCTGCTCTTTGTGCGGGAGAGGGTGGCCATGAGAGCATTCTGAGGCGGCTCGTCTGAGATTTGGCCCTCGTCCCTGGTTCGGGTCGAGGCCTTGGAGACGACATCTGCGATATCATGTGAGTACGCGAGACTGAGTATGAGAGTAAAAAGATCGGACTAACTTGTAGGTTCGTCAGCGGCAGCCATTATGATGAATTCGACATGAGTAAAGTGAATGTTTTGAGGTTCTCTTGATGAGATTGATGAGTTGTGAGAAGCGACTGATTGTTTCTTTGGTGCAACCTTTGGACGCGATTCCTTGCTCGAGGTTCCTGGCGCTCAGATGATCGACGTCACTGTACTTTGGCAACCTACGGGGATGGCCCTACATTAAATTTAGAGTCTGCAGCAGATGAGTCAGCCAACCTTTGCTGTGGTTCTCCCCTGCGGGTCACGCCAACGAGTCGGTACTGGAGTGATGAGAAAAGGGGGCGGTCGTACGATTTGAGTATTTTTGAGGGCTTTCGTTCCTGGGATTCAAACCGGCTGGTCACTGCTCGGTAGGAATAACGAGCCATACGGAAGGCAAGAGAGGATGAACAGCGGTCTGGGAAATTCTTGATCGGCAGGGCCGAATTGAGGCCGGGCATCGGTTCGATACGGAGGCGGCGAGCTAGGAAGGTACTGCCGGCGTGGCGCCGTGCCATCGGGTCTTGGGGTCTTGGGGGGTCTTGTGCGGATAGGTGCAAGGGTGCCTTCCAACGATTTCTGAGGGAATGGACCGATATCGTCGTGTATTTTAGCTCTGAAATATGAAGAGGCCGAGAGGGGATGGTCTCATCTCCTCTTTGGTACCAGTAGAGACGTTGCCTTTTTCTGAGTCTCCCATGGCGAATGGCCGTCCATAGATATGAAGTAAGTATGGTCGGTAATAGGCTGTCCGGCTTTGAAGACAACGTGAGTTGGGATGTTCCTCGCATGAACAGCCTCAACCTTGAGCGTGGGCAGAGACGAAATTGTCATGCAGGGGCATAGTGGCCATCAAATGCTTAAAATCTGGAGCATTCGGCATTTGTCGTGACTTGATCAACAAGGGACGATAATCGACCGGACACATTGTGGCTGCTCAGCTCCTACTACGTAGACCCTGAAGGCTGAGGGAGCGGCAGCAAGATCTTGACGCGCATGCTGGAAGTCTTGTCCCACGGAAATTGCCGTTTGGATAGGGCTCAGGAATGGATGTGTCCAGGCCCTGAATTGATGGTTTGCTGGACGCAGGCAGACGAGACACAACGTGGCCGCGAATTCATGTGATAGAATTTAGACCCAAGGATGGAATCAATCACTGTGAGAGTGAAACACGGCTGCTTCTGGTACCTCAAGAGTAGTGAGAGTGAGCTCGTAGTGTTGGGGTGGATGATTACGTCTTCCGAGTGCCGCCTTCGGCGAGCTGGAAGAGAAAAGAAGCGCATTGACCTGGCCAATGTCTATAATGCTCACAGCAGTAGCAGCAAGAGCCAGGAGGTGAACACAGGTAAACTGACCTATGGGGGGGGGGGGGGTTAGCTAACTACCCCACATATTTTTAACTTTTTATCTATATACTATAGGTTAGGTTACGGGCTATATACTAAAATAGAATTTTTTTAACTTCTCCTTTTATATACCTCGGATAGAAATTATAGTTATACTAAAATAATTCTAAATCGGTTTAGGACCGATTTAGAACCTATTTAAAATAGCTTTAATAAATTCGCTAAATAATGCGGGTATTTTCCCCGAACTTAAATTACTAATACTACTTTTTAATTTTTATTATTTTAATTAATAAGTATAAAATAATCTTAATATATTCTAAGAATTTTATAAAAGTAGTAATCTATTTAAATAAGAAGAGGTAAGACTTTTTTTAAACTATTTTTAAACCTATTTTAAATAGGTTTAGAACCCTTTTAATAAAACTTTTAAAATATTACTTATTTTAATTTTTACTAAAGCTATTATAAGCGGGTACTAAAACTAACAAAATAATCGCCGAACTATAATATAAAAGATTATATACTATAATTAATTAATATAGTATTTAGAGATAAATAAAAAAGGTATTATATACTATATCGATATACGTAGTTTATATTTAAAGGATATTAAAGCGTTATAAGGAACGGTATATAATACTTTTTAAAATTATTCTAAACTATTTCTAAACTAATTCCGAACTTAATAGCTTTAATATAATAATGCTCGTTTAGTACTTCTAAAGACTACTATATCCGCCTTTTTATAAAATTAAGTTTATAAACGCTTTACGTATTATTATATTAGTAATAAAGCGTATTTATATTTTAACTAAACTTTACTTTATTAGAACTATACTCGAGTTATAAAAGATATAACTAAGGATATTACCTCTATACATAAACGTATCTATAGGATATTACTAAAAAAAAGAGTAATTATATAAGTTTTTTAAATCGATTCCGAACTAGTTTAAAAGCGGTCCTTATTAATTATTTTTATAAATAGGTAAAAGTATAGCTTAAATAATTTAAAATAAGTACTTCTTATCCCCTATTTTATAAAGATTATAATATAAAGGTTATTAATAACTAATATAGTATATATATTATCTTAAACCGATTCGTAACCTATTTAGAACTAATTCCGAATCTCTTTAGTATATTCTTAGTATTTAATTACTTATTATATAATATATTTATAAGAATCTATATAGTAATAGCGAAAACTATTATATTAGATTTCCTCTAATTAAATACTAAGCCTATTTATTTTTAATACGCTCTATATTATAAAGAGAAGAGGTTAATATAATAAGAGGAGATAAGTATTACTTTTTTATAAGTAATAGGCGGAAATTACGATATTATAATAAGCTAGTTCTAAATTTATTCTAAATATATTCCGAAGTAATTCTAATATAATTTAGATATAAATTATATTATCCTAGAAAAAATTCTCTAAATATTATATTTAGTAAAATAGAACTATTAGGTACTAGTTAATATTATTATAAGATTAATAATTATTTTAATTTTTTATAGTACTTATAAATACCCCCCTCTACCGCCTACTTAAATACTTAAGAGTATTTATTTAGAACTTCGGAATATTATAAAAAAGATTAGTTAACTAAGAAGCGGATTAAGTAAAGAAAACGTTCCGAATATATTTAGAATTAGTTCCTAACTACTTTTAGATATATTCTTATAATTAAAGGAGCTTACTAAGCTCTATAATAAATTCTATAATTAGATTATTATAGAGATTTACGGTGCCCTTAGTAATACCGATTAGCTTATAGATATTATACGAATATAAAAAGCTCTTTATTTTCTAACTAGGTTATTTTACTTAGCTATATAGAACGAGTATTAATATATATAAGCCCGTTATTATATTAACGTAAGTATTTTATAAAGCGTTAAGAACTATTTCCGAATCGACTCCGAACTTATTCTAACTTCTTTTTAATATATTTAATATTTTAATAATAATAAGCATAATTATATTTATATTACTTTTTATTTAGAGTAAGTTAAATTTTAAAAAAAGAATGCCTTTTTGACTTTTTAATTAGATACGAATTATAAGCATATTAAGGGCTATAATAAAGTTAAGGTTATTTGGGGCTAGTATAATAAAGTTTCCTAAAAAGGTTCTAAAGCGATTCTAAATCTATTCTAAAATATTTCTAAACTATTTACTAACTTTTTAAATAGTTATTTTACTCCTCTAAGTTTTTATAAATATAGAGAGTACTAAAATATACTAAAAGATATATTAACTTATTTTTTAAATTCTTAAAGAGCGTTTTAGGTATATTATTTAGTAAAAATATCTTTTTAAATATAACTAGGGGTTATTAAGTATTACTATTAACTAAGATTATAAAAACTTAATAAATAAGTTTATAAAATCCTTTTATATAAAGTTTAGAATCGGTTTAGAACTAATTTAGAAAGGGTTTAGTTAATATTTATTACTTAATTACGATTTATAATATTACCCTTAAGAATAGTAAGTTAAAAAATATATTCGATTTTACTTAGTCTATTTTTATTATAGTATTAAGAAACACGTTTTAAAAGATCGCTCCCTAGACTTAAAATAGAATTAAATAAGGAGTATTTTATTTTATTAATTAAAAGAGGACTATTTTTTATTATATAATTAATTACGAGGTAAAGTAATTTAGAACTTATTTAAAAGAGGTTTATAACTAATTCGGAATTAATACTAAGTAATCTATCGATCTTACCTTAGGCTTAATATAAATCCCGGAGGAATATTATAACTAGACTTAACTAGACCTATTTATAAATACTTTTTAAAAATTAGGATAAGTTTTATATTTATATTAATATTATAAAAGCCCTTTATTAAGCTTTATATATATAGAGTAATTATTTCGTCCTATTATTAGTTTATATTTAGAAATAGGTCGGAATCTTTTTAAAACTAATTTAGAATTAATTATTATATTTAGATCTAAGGAATATAATAGATACCTTTTTAAATAAAATACCCTTTTTTTAGAATTAGGTATTTACTTTACTTAGTAAGATATATTTATTATTAAAAAATATCGTACTTTAGTTAGTTATTTAAGTATAAACCCCTTAGAACTATTTATAACTAAATTTAAAACTAATTTTAAACTAGTTTAGGAGCAAAACGTTAACGTCGTTTAGAATAATAAGAACTAGTTCTATATAAATAAGATATAGGGGCTTATTAGTAATTTATTAAATTATTACCTCGTAATTTTTTAAGCTTAGTACTTTTTAATATAAGTTTATATAGCTAGTTAAAGTTTTAGAATTAGTTATAATTATAATAAAAAGTATAAAATTTATCCCTAAGCCCTTTAGAACTCCTTTTAAATAGATTACGAGGTCTTTTTTAAATAACTTTTTTTAATATTATTCGTTAAGATTTACGTCGTATATTTATAATAAATTTATAAAGCGAGGTTATTTAAAATTAAAATAAGGATATTACTAAGCGTTATACTTTATTAAATATTTAAAAAAGGGAGCTACGTTTAGAAATAAGCCGATTAGAGCTTAAGGAAAAGAGATTACGGTTATAAAAACTATAATAAAGACTTTAAAAATAGTTTAAAATCGATTCCGAATTACTTTAGACCCTATTCCTCCTTATTTTATAATAATTCTTAATAATAATATAATATAAAAACTAAAAACTAAAGTTTAAATATAATATATATATATTATATATATTATATATATTTAATAAAGTTATAGTTATTTAATAATATAATATATTTTATAATTATATATTAAACATTTCGCTTATAATACTTTTTATTAATATACTTAATAAAGATAATTAAATAATAATATAATATAATATAATTATTACTTTAGTTATGTTTTTAAGTTTTAAATAATTTAATATTATCTTAATATATATTAGATTTAGTATTTAGTATACGTATTACTTCTAAAAGCGAGAAGTCGCTGCTAGGGCCGCCGAATCCGGTGGGAAGTGCCGCTGTTCTAGGCGGCACCAGCAGTGAGAAGGAGCGGGGCGAGGGGCGGACACTGCCAGGTATTAAATACTTCGTCCCGCTCCCTCCAACGCCCGCAACCTGGTCATGGCAGTGCGCCCCTGCTTTTTGTCCAAGCGCCTTCCATCTCCTTTCCTTCTACCCTGCCCGTCGGTCATGCCACCACTTGCTTGTTCCTCCCAACTCCCTCGCTTTCTGGCTTCCGTTGAAGCAATTTTTGGCTGCTCAGGCTGTTCAGGTTCTGCTTGACGCAATGGCGCCGCCCACCATAAAGAGCGGCGTCGTGCCTGCCGTCTTTTGTCGTCTTCTCTCGACTCAGTACAGTACACGCTCACGACCCCTCTTCTGCCGCTGCGACGAGCGACCATCTCGCAGCCATGTCCCAGCCGATGCTCGCTGATTGTCGACCTCAACAAACAAAAGCAACCGTTGACTTTTTGAAGCGGTTCACCGACCAAGAAACACAACGTCGGATCGCGAACCAGCCGAAGCCGTTCTCGGCTGAGGAGCACGCCGACCTACGCAAGCAGCTCAAGAACGTCAACTTCATCAAGCCGAGATATGCAGACGAAACCA